TGCTGCTGTCTCCTTTTGTTCTTTTTCTTTTGTTTTTTTCTCTTTTTCTCTGTCTATCATCCCCCCCCTCTTCTTCTCTCTCAACCCCACACCACTCGATCCCGTATCCAGCGGAGACAGCAGGGGGACAGAAGAAAGAGATAGATCATCATCTGCTCCTGCTGCTGCTGCTGCTGCTGCAGCACCAAACCCTGCTGCTCTATCACTAACAGTGCGTGATGGTTGCTGCTGCCGCTGCTGTGGCTTCTGCTGCTGCTGTCGCTGTGTCTGCTGCTTCTTCTGCATCGGCTTCTGCTGCTTCTGCTTCTGCTGCTGCTGCTGCTGCTGCTGCGGCAGCTGCTGCTGCTGCTGCTGCTGCGGCAGCTGCTGCTGCTGCTGTTGCTGCTGCTGCTGCTGCTGTTGTAGTCGTTGTGTGGCGTGTAGTTTGCTGCTGATTCTGCTGCTGAAGGCCAGAGGTTTCCTCTGCTGCAGCATCATGGTGGTTGTCTTTGTGTTTTGTTTTTTTTTTATTTTTTTGTCTTTGTTCTCTGCTGCTGCTGTTGCATGCATAACAACTTCATTTATATACTTTTCTTCTATCTCCTCCATCGACAGCAACCAAACTGTCTCCTTTGCTTCTTGCTGCTGCAGCGCATCTATATGAGCTGTGCTGATGAGGTCCAGTGTCTCCTCATCTCCTGTGTCTCCTTGCATGCAGCTGCTGCTGCTGCTGCTGCTGCTGCTGCTGCTGCTGCTGCTGCTGCTGTTTGTGCTGAGGCTGTTGCTGCGGTTGTGGGCTGTCTCGAGTGCCTGCAGCAGCAGCTGCTGCGTCTCCTGCAGCAGAGAAGAGTAGCTGCATGCATGCAGCAGCGACAACTCATATAGATAGTGCTGCTGTCTCCTTGTCTCCTTTATAAGCCCAGCAACAAAAGGAAAGAAAGCGAGAGGATAACCCCTAGAGGCTGGGTATTCTGCTGCAGCAGCATGCATCTGCTGCAGCAGCTCAACAACCTGCTGCTCCGACTGCTGCTGCAGCTGCTGCAGCGCAGCAGCAGTTTGCTGCTGCTGCTGCCACCGACTTGCTGCTGCCTGCTGCAGCAGCACAGACTCAGACCCCACACCTATCTCTCTTACGAGGGCCTCGCGCCCCACACCCTGCAGCTCCTCCAGCAGGAGGAGACGATCCCGCTCCCGTCTCCCCCACCCCACAGCTCTGCGGGCAGCAAGTATGTCTCTGCATGCAGCATCAACAGCAGCAAGATATGTGTTTGTTGCTGCTGCTGCTGCTAGCTCCTGCCGCAACAAATTCTTCTTCTTCTGTGCTCTACCCCACTCCTGCTGCTGCTGCTGCTGAGCTCGCTGCAGGAGACGATCCCAGCTCCGCAGCTGCGAGGACAGCAGCAGGTGCTGCGCAGCCCCAAATATGTGGGGTGTCTGCATGCGCTGCAGCAGCAGCTGCTGCAGCCCATCCAGCTGTCTTTGCTGCTGCTGCACTGCTTTTGTTGCTTCAGCAGCACGCATGCGTTGGCCCTGCTGCAGCAGCAGATGCACCTGCGCATGCAGCAGCTGCTGCACCTCAGGCA